ACAAGGATGTTCACAATGCAGTGACATGGATTTGATTTCACCAGACACCAGACACACCACACTACACTACACTGCACTACACTACACTACAAATCAGATCGACTTGATCTCAATGTTTAGTAAGTGGAGACGCAGCCTACTGGACACGAGATCAGATGAGATGAGATGAGATGAGATGAGATGAGATGAAGAAGATGAGGAAGAGGAGGAGATGTAGGTGGTTCACACCATTCACTATCACTGGTGCAATCAACCTACCTTCAACGTCAGGCTGAAAGCCATCAATTCAAAAAGTTGGTGGTGGCCGACAGTTTGAGTTGAACACCCAGAACAGACAGTGAACTGAAGGACGAAACTCCAAGGACATCTCCACGTCAGTCAGCCATCAAGATGAAATGTGAGAGCAATGTGGAGCAACATCCTAGAAGGAGCCTGCATGGAGGCACACTGGAAGGAACTCTTTGGAAGCTATGTGGAAGGGAACCTGCATAAGCGTATCAGGAGTGAATAGGAAAGAGGACAAGGAATGGATGTCGAGGGACACGTGAAAGCTGATAGAGTAGGGAGAGGAGGATGGTGATGGTGAAGCAGAATATGAACCAGTGCAAGGATAAACAATGATAAGAGGAAGTGAGTACAACGTATAGAACACTGGACGGAAGAGAGAAGAAGAGAGTGCGTAGAGGCGAGAGATAATTCTACGACACATTTGCAAGTGAATCAGAACAGGCTGAAGGCTGCTGGTAGGAGAGACAGAGACCTGACAACATTGTATCAAATAACCAGGTTACTCACTATCTGGGAGAGAAGAGATCAACGTACACAATCTAGGTTTGCAGTTTTTTGATATCTAGCATCAAATACTCAACACAAGGTAATTTTATCTATGTTTCTGGACGTAATAATTTCTATATTTGAAGGCTTGTTATTCATAATGACAACTTGCATATACAATCTTGCTGTAGTTCGTTTACTTGAATTTCTGACCTGGTCTGTAGACCGATCTTACGTAATATTTTATATTGTAACCCCTTAGAAAGCAATTTTTCAATGTGAATCTAACAATTTTTTTTTAAGAAATGCGGGAATGCAACGGGAGCAAACGGAACCCCACCAGAAGCACTGAAAACAGACGCCGGGAAAAAACAGACATCCTCACACGACTATTACAGAAGGTCTGGAAGGAAGGGAAGGTACCTGCCGATCACAAATGGAAGAAAGGCTACCTTGTCAAACTCTCAGAGAAGCGAGACCTAAGTGTTTGCAGGAACTGGCGCGGAATCTTGCTCGACTTCTGTCTACCCAGAGCAAGTAAAATATTAAGCCGCATCATCTTCGAGAGACTAAAGAATGAATTGGTTTCAAAATTGTCACCAGAACAGGTTTGCTGTCTTTGGTAAGTACAAATCATGTGCGGACCAAATTGCAGCACTATGCATCATCATTGAACAGAGCATAGAACGACAGTCAACACTCTATCTCAACTTTGTCAACTTTGAAAATGCCTTTGACAGCGACAAGCGAGAAGTAATTTGGCAACTGCTTCAACCCTTTGGAATACCAGAAACCCTTATCAGCCTCATTCAACAACTATATGAATACGCCACTTCCAAGGAATTCATAATGGAAGCTCAGTGACGCCTCTGAAGGGAAGACAGGAGTAATAAATGGCTTTCTACTATTACAGATCGTCTTCTTGATGGTGTTCGACTGGACTGAACTGGATCGTGCAGCAAACTGTGAGAAGTGATAGGATGAACATACACTGGCTAGACCGATGAAAACAGCCTAGAAGATTTGGATTTGCCGATAATGATTTATGTCTAATATCTCACAAACTGGATGATCTCCAGGCAAAAACTAACAAGTTGACAGAAGAAGTAGGCAGCGAAGACGGAACTTCAAGTGAACGTAAAAAAGACAGAGGTGATGAAGATGCTCAACCAACAAGCGAAAATCAACATTTACGGGAGAAACCTAAGGGAAGTTGTCTCTTACACCCTCCTCTCTGCCTAAACAGCGTTGTTTCAAGTCCAGGCTGCGGCACAGACAATGATGTCAAAATCAGGATCGGAAAGACAGCAAGACGGGACTTCAATTATGTGAAACCAGGGTGGAGATCTACTGCACTCACCATAAAGCGTGAACAAGATCCGGATTTTCAACGGCAAAGTGAGTCAAGTCAGTGCTGCTTTATGGTTCGGAAACTTGGCTTGCCACGAAAACCATTTCCAACAAACTGAAAATATTCATCAACAACTGCCTACGCTCGATAGTGACACTGAATATCAGATGTCCGGAATAATAAGAATAGGCAACAAGGAACTCTGGGAACGAACCGACCAAGAACACATTGCACAACAAATATCCAGAAGAAACATGGGAGATGAATTGGGCATACATTGAGAAACCATTCAGAGACATCATGCATCAGACTAGGCCCTCGAGTGGAATCCAAAAGGGAAACGACAAGTTGAGCGTCTGAGCCTAGGATAACATGGAGGAGATCATGTGAGGAAGAACTGAAAGCTTCTGGGCAGTCGTAGAACCAGGTTGAAAATACTGCTGAGAAGGGGGATGCGATGGAAGCGTGCTACTGAAGCGGTATGTTCCACTAGGAATCCAATGGAAAAAATAATAATAATAATTTAACGAACAAAATTCAAACTAGAATTCTTTCTACCGTAAAGGCAGATAGCTTAGGAAATACTTTGGCTTAAGCGTAAAATAATGAGATGACAAGCCTTCATTTCTTCCTCACTGCATCTCCTCCATGTCGTCCTCGGCTCAGACTCTGAACTCGTCCTTTCCCCTTTGGTTTCCACTCTAGGGTCTGGCCTATCACGTTGTCTCCAATCGGCCTTCTCAGTGTATGCTTAATCCATCTCCACTTTCTTCTATAGCATATTTGCTGGGTGATAGGTTCTTGATTGGTTCGTTGCCAGCCAGATTTCTTTGTTGCATATTCTTTCTGGCCATCTCATCGATCTTTAGTATCGAGCCAGCGTAGGCAGCTGTTGATGAATGTTCGTTAAATTACCCTGGGAGAAATTCCTACTATAACAAACTATGTTAAGTGCAAGGCAATTTCTGCCAGAACATTTTTTCATCTTGACCTGCAAATATTACCTGCCCTTCTAATCTGATGGTCTTTTATTCAGGTTACAATAAATAACTTTAACCTTTAAAGTATAATAATTTTGTTGTTCTGAAGAGCTAGAAAAATCATAGTGATTACAGTAGGGGTAAATTGTATAAATAAGGCCAACTTATATACTTTATCCAATGTATTACAACACACATAAACAGCAAGCAGTAAGTAGAAACAAATTATTATGTAGGAGGAAACTGAGATATAGACTCCTTTGTAAGTCAGTTGTTACCAGTAACTGGGTTGAAAAGGCAAAAGGTCATCTCTAATCGCCTCTGTTATTTACACAGATTAAGAATTATCCGGTCGGCTAATAGACACATTCCTATGTGCAAGAGATAAATGGCAAAGATGTAACCTTTTGTGTAAGACAAGTTTATATGCATCAGTGTTTACACAGAAAACAATGAATGTAGTACAACCCTCTGATATTAGTATGTTCTGTTACGTTTTAGTTGTAGTAAATAAAAAATGTGAAGTGATGAACGAAATTCCAAATTAATTAGCCATACATAAGACCTATTAGTACAAACTCCTGCAACTGTTACTACAACTGGTGCAAAGAATAACTTTATCGATGAAACATTATCTAAAATAAATCATCAGTGTAACTTCAGTATATACGTATGCATGTATAAAGAGACTTTATTGGTCAGTTTATTGAATAATGTATATAAATATGCAATTAGGTGGTGGAAATATTACTACTGTATAACGCGAAGAATAGAATAAACATGTAGAAATAATTTTCAAATAGTTCCTGTCATTTTTACTTGTTATCAAGGTAAGGAATGATAGCCTACTCGAATATTAGTGGAACTTGCCTTCATCAAAATGAACTGACAAAACTTTTGAACAGACAATACGTACAATCTTTCAGTGTAGTAACAGGTTAGAAAAACAGATGATAAAAACGGCTGTTGTGTTGGACACTGTAAGTTTGAAACTTTTCAAAGGAAAGCTTTCGTAACATTTTTGAAATATGCATTCTCTATAAGTAGTAAAGACAGTGTTGGTACGGTATATAGCTTCCTACTCAATCACTTTAAGTTAGTGTTCATCATGAACTGACATCAGTTGAAGGAACATAGGAAACCTGAAAGCACTGGACAACTGTTTCGTCCTAGTACAGGACTCCTCAGCAGTGCGCGCCCACGACTTTCAGGTTTCGTGGTCGGCACGTTACCATTAGGCCACTAGGTAAGAATCCAATGGTCCATAATTCCAACTTCTGTCAGTGCACGACTAATCGCTACCGCCACCTAATGTCATCGTTGAGTATTTATTCTCACAGCCACCATGTTTTCTCCATCGTTCACGACTTCTCTTTGGAACTTCAGGAATCACCTCTCGAAACTAGTCACCAATGAGTGCTCTCAGATTTTTAGTGTTCCTGCAACTGATGTCAATCTATGATGAACAGCAACTTGAAAAATCATCAAATTTCCATGTACCCCCAAATTCAATCGATCTAATAATTATTTGTGACTAGCTTCGAGAGGTGATTCCTGAAGTTCCAAGGAAAAGTTATGACCAATAGACGAAACAGCTGTTTAGTGCTCTCAGGTTTCCTATGTTCCTCCAAATGATGTCACTCCTTGAATAATACCAACATGAAAAGTCACCAACTTCCCACAAACTCCCAAGTTGAGTCGATCACTTTAGAGATCCATCAAGAGTCGATTCAACTTCACAGTCTAAAGAGAATGAATGACCTGAGAGTAGCTTTCACAATAAAGCGATATCAGCTAGGAGGTGACAGAGAGTTGATACCTTGTTGGAAATCAAAAACGGACTTTTTGAGTCAACCTTCAACAACATTCATCATAGACGTAACAATTCTACTTACCGATCAGCTACAGGTTTTGTGAAGTTTCTTTCCAATTTTCCAATAAATATAGGAATTTTCTGTAAATAATCTAAATATCGTGAATATATTTCATAATCAGCATCAAAATTGATATATGTTTCATCAAAATAGGCGCTAAGCATTCCCGACCAATCAAAAGCATTTCCATTAATACTTAGGTCACCAAGTTTTGATTTCTTTGGTAATTTTGATGGTTTTGTACTTCGATAAAGCTAAGAATATTTAGTGAGAGAGACTTTTCATTAGAGAAAATAATAAACAACACAAAGAAGAATCAACAATACGATTTTTAGAAGTAGTATTGATCATGTATTTACATCAGTTGGGGGACCATTAAAAATCTGGAAGCACTGGACAGCTATTTCGTCCTAGTATGGGACTCCTCAGCAGTATGCACCCACGACCCGGCTAGGGTTCAAACTCAGGACCTTAAGGTTTCACGTCGAACACGTTAACCATTCAGCAGCTGGGTCAGTTTCCAGTGGTTCACAATTTCCAACTTCTGTCAGTTCATGACATAGGGCGACTGTCACGGTTTTTCTTAAAATTATGGACAATACGAATACAGTTTCTGCTCGGTAATAATAATAACTTTCAATACTGTCTTGAATTTGATCCACTTATCAGTATATTATATAGTGTACCGTAGACTGAACTAAACCAACTGAGAAAAAGATACTTCATGAAAAACATACTTATCACTATTAATAATTCAAATTTTATCTTTGTTTTATAAAAGAATTTTACAGATGAACTTCCAGTTTTTATTTCTGAAAAATATTAATTTTATGGTATATTCACAGGTGTTCAAATATGAACTTGTCTGTGTGATTTAAAAAAAAAATGTACCACGTGCTTTTCAGATGTTTTTAAAAACAGAAAGGCAAAAAAAAGGAAACTAGATCTACACAGATCAGTTAATCCTTTCTATTAATCCAGAATGAAAAGACCTTAATAGTTTTATCCATCTTCGTCTTTTGAATATAAAATGGATCTTTTTAACGTTATATTCTAATTTTTTTCTGTCTCTACAATCCTAGTAGAAAATGAAACCTTGTATTTTGAGCAAAGGCTGACTGGTGACATCACGCGTTATGCCAGTCCTTGGAGTGTAATCCAAAGGGGAAACAACGAGTTGGGCATCTGAGCCGAGGATGACATAGAGGAGATTATGTGAAGAAGAAATGAAAGCTTCTAGCCAGTCTTGGTGGCAGGTTTTGAAGACTGCCGAGAAGGGGGATGTAATGAAAGCGTGCTACTGAAGCGGTATGTTCCACTAGGAACCCAAGAGAAAAATAAATTTTGAACAAAATGCAATGCATAATAACTGATCACAGGGGTGATTTATTTACGCTTTCAATGAAATGTATTTATGAATTGGTTCGGTAATTCAAGGTCATTGATGTCACTGATGTAATCAGTGATAGATAACAAAACGTATGCACTCAGATTATCTGTTTCAATCCAGATAAAGACTTCTTCGTGAAGGCTTATATTAGTAATAAAAATTGAGAATACAGTCCAAAAGTGGATAATACAGGGATAACGAACATTTTAATAAAAGCTTGAAATATTATTTCTTTGTTTTTGAGATGCATTAACTGAACACTTTTTTGTAAACATCAATAGTGACTTGTTACCGTTGTGCGCTAATATGTGAGATATTAAAGAAAATCCCCTACTTAAGGTTATGTAATCAAAACGTTTTTAGAACAACTTGGTTGAAGCAACTTCATTCATTCTTGGAAAGTATAAAATTGACGAATTCAAAATATTCAGATTATTCTGTGACAAATATCTTCCGTAAATATTGAATTGAACAGATGAATACCTTTGCACTATTTAACTATATTGTCAACTATTTCATCAATGTAAGAAGAATAGGTTCATAAATTGAAGTATATCATTGACTATGCATACATTAATTTCTTCTAGTGAAGTTCTATGTCATCATTTGAAATAAAGGCATTTCTTACTTCCTAATTACTTCGAGATTGAAATGAATACCGTGTTTATGGTTCACCACAGCATTGAAAATTCATTTATTTAATAATCGTTACAATCTCTTTTGGCATAGTTTTATTGGTTAGATCTTTAAATCTTTGTCTACCTGAAAGAATACACTTCATAATTCAACTGTGTTTCATCTGACATTATATACAAGGACTCATATTAATCAACCGTCTTTCATTCACTGGAATATCAAACCTGTATCCCTTCCCCTTCAACTTTAGTCTATGTCCAGGGATTCAACTCAACGCAGTACAAATTTTTCATTTCATATTAAATAGCAGTTAAATGAATAAAGTGAGTGCAATGGAGGTGTGCTACTGAAGCCCTATGTTCCATTAGGAACACAAGGGAAAAATAATAATAATATATGAATAAAGTGAATAAAAATAAAATGTTCATAGTTGCAAGGGTTTTTTTAATCATTAATAATATATTCTTTTCATTTTTACAGGATTGTTAGATGTATCACATAGTTATAGTTTTATTCACTGAATGTGGTGGAATGAGCACTGCTTCTGGTCATACGGAAGCGAGCAAAGTAAATTCTCTGGAATAACATGTATGACACCAGTAAGATGGTGATAACTCAGCAGCTTCTGTGATTACAGCATCCAATTCTCAGTTAGGCTGGTTTAACAAGCACAAGATCTCTTAGTGATGCTGGTATATCCAGCCCATTAGTTAGCCTATTAGTGTCAGATGCCAGTTGGGAGGAGTCATAATTTAGGGTTGCACAATACGATACCGGTTTCTCAACAGTAAAAAAATCGACGTATAAATTTAAAGCACTCTTGTCTGTAGTGAACAAGCAAGCCTGAGATGAGAGAAAATTTAGAAGTCATCACTACGGTTTATTTTTTATTGAAAGTCTCATAGTATATGGTTTTCACACTCAATAATAGTGACTGAAGCCTACAGAAAATGTAGGTTGAGGCGAGAAACTAACTCTTGTCTTCAAATTCCCGGGTTATAAATGCACCAGTTAAGAAACAAGACCAAAATTACTGCTTGATCTTATTCTTATTTCAGCTCAGCTGAGTAACCAATATAATGGAGGATGACCAGCCATATATCATAGTGTGCCATGTCAGTTATGAACATTGACGGATGTATGAATTGTTATCTGTAAATATTTAGTAAAAAGGTCTCACAGCTACGTCGTTTTAAGTATTGTCATAGTACAGTTTTTCTGTCAGCTCAGACTATGCTATCTGGTATATATCTTCCCATATACATGTACGTATATTTATGGACGTATATATGTAGAAAGGGACTGTGAGCGAATTGACCTGTCACTATGCTGTCATGCACTGAAATTTCAATATTAATACTTCATTGTAATTAATCGTTCCTGAATTTTCGAATCAAAGTAAAAGAGATTTACAGCCAAAATAATTGTTTTCAACAACATATAAATATCATAAATTTACAAACTGGATTTCTTAAAGATGAAATATACCAATTTTATCATTTCACTTTGGATAATTTGAAAGCGAATAGTAGATATCTGCACACTGATGGTGAGGTAAAGTGGTACACATATGACTTCGTGAGACCAAACGGAAACTACTTATTCACAAGAGGAAAAAAATACAAGTATATTAAATTTCGAGGGAGTTGTGAAGATTTGGAAATATTTCAAGTTGTTATTCATTGTAGACAGACATCAGTTGGAGGAGCAAAGCAAACCTGGGAGCACTGAACAGATGCTTCGTCCCAGCATCAGACTCCTCAGAGGTGCGCACCCACGACCCCACCCTCCACTGACCGAACCCACCACCTCCAGGTTCCATGGTCACCACCTTACCATTGAGCCAGTGAAGTTGGAAACATGGACGATTGGATTCTGATTCAGTGGCTCAATGGTAATGGGCTGACCATGAAACATGGAGGTCGTAGGTTCGATCCGAGGAGGACGGGGTTGTGGATGCGCACTGCTTCGAAGTCCCATACCAGCACGAAACAGCTATCCAGTGCTCCCAAATTCACTTTGTTCCTCCAACTGATGTCAGTCTACGATGAATAACAACTTGAGGGAAGTATTAGGTTTCGAAAAATCCCCACCTTCAAAGTCATCCTACTTATCTACCAGAAGTTTTCTCTTCTATTTCGTGATGGTCTTTTTACTTCGCAATAATTAAGACATATATTTGTGATTATCATCTGTTGATGCTTTCAATTTCATCTTGTTGTGCAGGAGCGAATTGATGCAGTCCCAGATGGGACGAGATGCTTGTCCCAGGATTCCACTGTTGGCCACCATCAAGTAAATTATAAGTATGAATTTCCAGACAGTATGCAGGCAGCTGTATACGAGTCCATATGCCATCAGAGTTTGATTAATCTGACCTAGAAAAGCAGTGGGAAACTAAAAATATCGAAGAATGATAATAACTCATACCCGTTGCACAATGGGTCTCGATAACCCAGGAGATAGCTCACTGACATTTGAAACAATAGGGGACTGTATTTGAGTGTCAGTAAGAAAAAACATTAATGACTGGCATGCAGGCGAGTTCAGATGATGAGCCCCAAATAGATTGGAACGTGCATTCCGGACTGTACTGCTAGTCACCATCAAGTAAAGTTTGGTGGAATTACTAACTGATTCAACGAGTGTTTCCTTCAGATCATACTAGTTGAAATTTAATATCTTTTCAAAATATCTTCAGTATAAACTTTGCTTACAGATTATGTTGGAAAAACATTTATGGATGCCTTTAGGGATGGATAACATGGACATATAGTCCTGTGGGGAATTAGCAATTTGACAGGGTCTTTACATTTATTTTTTTTTATATCCTAGGCATTCACTTTTACTGACAATTTATTTCATTCACATTCTGATATTGTCTTTTCTCAGAAAGATGACAGACACATTGGGAAATGATTGTCAGTGATGTTTTTAAACATTACTGATAGTTGACCTTGATATGTTTCGACAAATGAAACAATTTGCTCAGTATTTCATTGAACATGTTTAAAACTTTTCCTTTCTTACTATTTAAAGTTTCTAGGCTCAATTAGACAACGTGGCATATTTCATATACCAAAAAGCATTATGCCTTGTATGGTTTTAATAGCATAAATTAATGAAATTGTAAATATAGACGATTGGGTTCTGACCAGGTGGCTCAATTTTAGTGTGATGGTCACGGAACCTGAATGTTGCGCTTTCAACCCCTGGTATGTTCGTGGGTGCACACCTCTGAGGAGTCTCACACGAGGACGAAACGGCTGTCCAGTGCTTCCAGGTTTCCTTTTTTCCTATAACTGAAATCAGTCTACGATGAATAAGGAGTTGACAAGTATATTATCTGTTCAGATAGTAAATGATACTGATTGAACCAAGATAGATCAGAATAATGTGGAGCTCAGGATCAGGGCGATAGTTTTTTGAGTTTTTCTGAGGTATGATATCTGCTACTAGACATTTTATCAACTGTCTAGGTGACTACATCAACATTTCTTTATTATTTGTTAATCTATGAGCGCAAGTTGATGACGTGAGTTGCTAAAGCATTTATATGCATATAGAAGTGAGTGGGAATGTGAAGAAACTTTATATACTTCTAATATCAATTTATTTACTGTTAATATTTGTTAAATGTTCTGTCAGACTTTTGTTCAAGGCAGAAGGAGTAAAGGAAAGGTAAGAGGTCTTTTCCTCTTTCAAGTGCCTCAGGATTTAAAATAATATGAAATACTTCGATTATTCACTTTTCTTTTTGATTTTCAAAACCTTTTTGAATCATACACGGAATGTAATTTTGTGGCCTGTTTAGCTATAGGTGAAGAGGATGGTCTCTCACAATCGTTTATCATGGTTGCTCACTCCATTTGTTTTTGAAGCCATTTAGGTAGATTTTCCACCACTCTCAACTCCATGGCTCGATTACTCCTCCCTATATATGTGTGACCATGCAAACATGTAAATTGGTAAACACAAATGGAATGTGAGGTATTCATTGATGCAGTGTTTAGGTTTTTGGTGAAGCATGTATTTTTTTTTCACAATGATAAGATTAACTGCGAACTATGTTTTCTTAATTGCTGCTGTCAGTCTACGTCTCAAAAGGATGCCATTCAACTCCTGTCTGTATCGTAGAGTGATATGGACGCTTTTCTTAGGAATCGTGCATGGAGTTGGCTTCGAGCCTACTGAGCACTACAACGGTTTATGAACTTCAATGGATATCCGGTTTCCATAAGTGTTTTTGGTCAGTAATTTGATATCTTCGTTCATCGCATCTGGTGTTCAGATACGATAAATTCTATCAAACTAGCTTTTTACTAGAATCCACTTGTATTGTATTGGACAAAAACTGTGAAAACTCAGGTACTGTCCCGTCCATGTAATTGTTCTGTAAACGGACCGCCTTACTAAACCATCTCCTCGTTGACTCAAGAGTATATCTAAGAATGGGAGATGATCATTCATCTCTTTCCTACAAGTCAGGCTGATGGTAGTCTGTACAGTGCTACGGTGCTCACCAATTTACATGTGTGCATGGTCACATATACAGAGGGAGGAGTAACCTAGAGTGTGGGGGAAAATGTACCTAAATGGCTTCAAAAACAAATGGAGTGCGAAACCATGATAAACGATTGTGAGAGACCACCCTCCTCATCTATAGCTAAACAGGTCACAAAATTAATGTTCAAATAGCTTTCAAAGTTTTATATAGAAATGTTTATTGAACAGCGTAGGGAAACACTGATTATCGAGGTATACACGATGCTGAATAATTATCGTTCTAGTCGTCATTTTTTAGTAGACTTTACCTTAATATCCATAAAAGACATAAAACTACTTATTTTACATTAAATTTGCATGTTTAATGAAAAAGTTATTAGTAGACCTCTCAAATATATTGAACATTAAATCATAAAGTGAATGAAAAATACCTTGTTCAGTTCACTTGTAACAAGTTTTAAATCTTCTGTAAATATGCGCATTCTCTCCTTATACTCCTCGTTTCCATATGGTATACCAGCATCCTTGGCTAAAACTTGCAGAATACCAGTGACATAGTTGTTAATCTGCAAGCAAAGTGAATAATCAAAGAAAGGAGAGAATAACAGTTTTCTGTCATCTGAAATAAACCAGTTTAAGTAGGGTAATAACACAACGAATCATATAAACTGTTACGTCGTTGCTTATATCAAGACAGTATTATTCAGTTCTGTAGGTCAAAGTAGAAAAACAGGGATTTCAGTTTGAATTCGAATACATGACTGTTGAGTATTTTTAAGCGAATCCGCTGTAGTGAAGAAATAAATAGCTTCGAACAGGAATACATCAGTCTGTTTTTCAGTGAATAGTATGAAAGATTTAATCTTGTATTGTGCTGTATAGTGTTAGCTAAGATAGACCAGAACAAGTACAATAGGTAACACAAACAAAAGCATAAAACCTTAAGATAGCTGTTTCTATTTACTCATTTTATATTCCACTTTAATGATATAAAGTTGAACAACACATAATTTTTGTTCATAAACGTGCTAATTTAATGTGAAGATGGAGATAATATCATATGTAAGAGGTTAAATCTTTCATTATTTACCGTAGCTATCTCCAAGTAAATTCTATTCTTGCATGAAGAAGTGCCTAGGTGTAGATCTTTATAGTTTCGAAAACTTAAGTGTTAACTAATATCAATCGACTAATTGCGTTTAACTAATAAGTATCGAAGAAGTTTAGACTTATTTCTTCAACAGCGTTTTGCCAAACTGAATTTCAACATGTAATAAAGTCATAGTGTTCATTCATCAATAGCTAGTGGCCTGTGCTTTAACATACTAGAATTCGGTCTAATTATTCGATGTTACCTATAATTTCTCCCTTATTATTATTATTATGCAGAACCGAATTGATGGGCCTCTGTTGACATGTTGGTCCTATGTGGGCGCTTAGAGTGAACTTCAGTGGTCCAGTGGATAAATCTTTCGCGTTTCCATAAATCAGTACTGCTTTAAAGTTTCAGCAGAAAAACCATAATGCACCTATTAAAGCTGAGTTCACCTAAGAAGTTTCAAAAAGGATGATATACGCTTCTTGGATTCTAATGCCAACCACTACAAAGTAATAAGTATCATTTTCGATATAGTTCATGGTTTTGCACTGAAATGCATATGATCTGTTTTAACTGTCCCAATATTCGAAAAGCATATTCACAATCAGTAATCCATGATATTTTCACTTAAATCCCAAAATTTAAACTCTGTAACAGCATTTTTCTAAAGAATAACTTAAAGTAATGTATAAAGTCAATAGAAGTTAAACTATACATTTCTGCTATCGATAAATTCAAAGCCCTCTGAACTAGCTTCCCTGTCGCTTGGGAATTCATTTGTAATGGTTCTGTAATAAATGAGTTATTAAAAGTAACATACTCTAAAGTTGGAATAAAGAACAGCTACTTTTTCAATAGCCTTATAGTTATGAATCATAATTAAGAACCAAGCACGTTTTTCAAACAATCATACTGGTTCTTTATTTCTGGATATAAGAGTTTTACTCAAATCTGTGGAAAAAGGATATTGAATAATAAATAAGACTACATAACAAACCCATTGGGATTGATAGTAACAATCAGTGAAGTCAACAGCCAGTGATATGAGCTATCTTAAGCTCCCTAAACAGATTTTTAAGGTTTCAGTTTCGTCGCTAACAAATAAAATGTTTGCTAACACGCTGAGATTATATTAAATATATATTCTTAGAATTCTGCAAATATCCCGGTGCGATACCCCACATAGCTCAGAGAGGGCATGTGAGACACATAAACAGTCGTAGCAGCTATTATAGACCATTAGTCATATAAACCAAAGGGCCTCAACCTAAAATATATGAAACAACGAGGAAAGTCATATATGGGTATTTGCTTGGTACACTAATCTATCCATGAATGTTAAATTGCAAGGAGAACTGCAACTTACAGGGAACTGTAACTGCTCAGCTTAAATCATGACACCAAACGCTGAAAATATTTAAAAAGAAGTAATTTTCTTCGCTCTATTTTAAAATATTATTGTCCACTGGTGCGTTTCTCCACAGCTAACAACAGTCAGTTCCAGAATAAACACATTGATCCTCTCTTCATCTAAATGAATACCGAATAAGTTTATCGCTTCTATTGGCAGAACGATGGAGTAAATATCAGTTACTGCACCTAATCTGCATTCAAAAGATAAGCTGTTCACCAAAATTTCGGCTCTAGCTTTGAATTCGTCTAGTAATGTCTATACCAATCACTTTATTTCAAACAATTTTTCTATGCAATATAGAGATTCCAGTTTGTAATATTTCACGACATCTACTCTTTGTTCAGTAAGTCTGAACGCAGTAATTTAGCTCCCACAATTTTACCAGTAATATAGAAGTACAGGTAGTCATAAGTAATGACCAGCAGTTATTCGGTTCTTGTCTATCTTTAGGTGTGATAACGTAAGGCGAATTTCAAAGTTCGGATAATTTTGGCTGTGGACGTTTATTCTGTCAGCATGAGAGTCTAGAGTTCATACTTATTATTTCAGAAGCAATTGCTAGCACACTGTTTTGTACTTGAGAACAAGTCATCAGTCATAGGGGAGTTAAGGAGCAATTTTATTGCGAACGTTCAGTGATAGGTGAAACGTTTTAATGAAGTGTGAGATGACACTATACGTCTTGAAACATACTCGAATTGTCCTAACAACATCAGTAGGACAAATGTTTTTGACAGACAAGTTATTTTCATATCACAGACAGATTTCTGTCATAGCACGATTGAAAATCACTCAATGAAAGCGGTGAGTTTTAAGGTTGACTTCCTCAAGGTTAAAGTTTAGTAACAACAACTGTGTTTTCAATCAAGTTTAGACTAATGACAGATACTTCTCGATGATATTAGAAAATATTTTGCACTGACTAACTTCCATCCCGTTTCAATAGATTTTTAGGTCAATTTTAGTTAAAAGCGAGAATTATTTTTATGCCAATGGATTACTAAAAACTAATTAATTGAAAACTACGGAATAATATCCAATAATAATGTATTGAGTAAAATTGGTGGGTACTGATAAGAAGATTGGAACACTTGGCGACACGTAGGTATTCACAGATGACGCCATGTATCGAAAATAGTTAATCATGTTTAAAAAGACCAACCAGCAGCGGAAAACTACAAGCTAAGACATCTAATTCATTTGATTTTAAAATACCTAATCCAGTCTTAAAGTGCCTAATTTCTATAGATGTCCACACTAGATAAAGATAAAAACCAACTCAGAGACGATCTGCATATTTGTTCGGTAGGTAATTACCTAGTTAGTTCCATTTGGTTATGGCTTGTGACACAACCTGGCTGAACAGACTATGGTAAATGGAAGGGGTTCTGATCGAAGGTTAGGTGCCCAAGTGAACGAGTCATGAGTGTAGATCAACAAATAAGAAGCATCAGGATGGATTAACCTGATTTCAGACATCAGACGTCTTATGACACTAAACTTTAAATTATTCTCCTAAACTACACCTTTACAAGGAACATAAAAACATTATTGCTTTGCACAGTGAACTGAAAAAAAGCATTTGATATTAGTAAATGGGTAGAAGGTATTGTTGAAATTAATTTTCTTTCATGAAGTTAAACCACAAAATTAAGAATAAAAGTTGAAAAATAAGACGAACTTTGTGGTGATGATGATGAAAGTCTGAAGGTTGAATGAATAATTACGCTAAAGTGCTTTATTCTACGAGGATGTGGTTGAACCATTCAACCTACAGAATATTTATTGACTCCTTTTTCATGCAACTTTTATCAACTGAATACATACAGTCTGAATGATTAAAACAAAAAATGAACTAACTTTAAACGCAGGTTATAATCATATTATATGTATATATATATATATATATATATATATATATATATATATATATATATATATATATATATATATATATATAGAAAACCGAAGTTTAAGACGCAGCACATACACTTTCCCAGCTTCATACTCATAGAGAACAAACGTAATATAATAAGGTGTCAGGCACTTACAGTAAGATTGATTTGTTCCAAGGGGTGTGTGGAAAAACATCCATTATGTGTCCATGATATTCTAGGTGAAAACGGTTATCCGGATGAGTTCATCGAAGCTGACATCAACTACATTCGTGCTCAACGAGAAATGATGACACTGGCGAAGAAGCCTGTGTTTTTGGGTTTGCGATATATATATATATATATATATATATATAAATTGATGTTTTAAAGTTCAAAAAAGACAAGGAAATTGCACAGCTACTAATAAATGTAATTTATTGAAAGGTAGCATATTGAACCAGACGGCATGATACTGTTCTGATCAAGTTTTGATCAGTTGCTTACAGCCAAAAGTTTTGTACTATCAAATTACTGTGCGGTGCTTGACTTCTTGATTAGAAAAAAGGTATTTTGACTTTCTCCTTTGCTGTAATTTGATTCGACTATAGTGAAATCAACAACTATCGTTTGATACTGCCTCAATTGTGATTTTTCATCTTTTCCACTTCATAAAAAAGATATGTTATTCAAGAGTGAATTACTCCAAAATAAGATAAACTTTTGAGACAAGAAGAGGAATGGTCCAAAATGAGTGGGATAAAAATAGTTACATTATGGAAATTTCACCAACCCAAATTATCAGAAGCTATAATCTCAGCGAAAAACATTCTTTCCAATAAATTCTCTTCAGACTCTACAATTGTAAAATGGATTTGTACAGCATGAAATCAAGGGAAGTCGAAGGCAATTACATTTTCAAAATGGAGTGAAATTAAGAGATTGTAAGGAAATCGATTTTTCTTCTAAAATTTTTCAATATTGAGATGATACATATACAGGTGAATGATAAAGCAGTGACTAAAAAGATAACGAATAAAAGGCAGATGTGACCTTTAGTATATTCAAGGCCAAGGGAAGAGTAAACCTTGGACATGCTGTTTTTGATTGAAGTGTTCACGTTTGGCCAAACTTATTGCGGTAGCCTTGGTTGTATTGCGTTCGCTGGGCTGGGTTGTT